CCAGGTATTCGTGGCCTAAACCATGCCATGTTTCAGTAAATTGGTATTCATCCAAATTTATGTGGGTTTCTAATCCATATCTTTCCGGGACAAGAAATTGTATTTAATCAAAGGGTCATTTAGTACAATACCCCCAATAATTTTATAGATTTATTTAAACATATTTGATAGTTTTTATTTTACTAAAACACCTTCAGCTTATTTAGTTAATGACCTTTTACTAAGAATTGTTTGTTTTACTTTTTTAAAAATGGTAGTATTATCACCTAAAACAACTGGGAAATGTTCAAGGGTATGTGGCCCACGATTCTTTATTTCATAAGTACTCCTAACACTTTTTCATACAGAAAACAAAATTTATCCAATAGAGCCAAATAGAGTGATTGCTAATGTCTTAGTAGGGGAAATTAGTAATTTTTATTTTTATTTTTTTGATTAAATTTATTTAAAAGGACATTAAAATTAAAATTGTTATTTTCTACTATCATCTAATGAAAAGTTGATTAAATAAATTAATTATAAGAATGTTTTAGTAAAACACAAACTATAAGGTAAATTTTAATAAATTTATGAAATTTATAGGGGTGTTTTACTAAATTAGCCTTAATCAAATTGATATGGAAACTTAGAAATGTATTCTCTCTGTATCACACGAAGCTAAAATTACCAGGAAAATATCTACTGTTCAGAAGAAAGTCAGAAAACAGTTTGGGTTGTTTTGAAGCATCATAAACATGACATGTTACCATGGGGGTAGTAGGTTAAAAGAGTAATTTCAATTAATATTTTTCCAAATAAAAAAGACATAAAAATCAAGTGGGATAGCAAGTCATGTGCACGGGAAGCTTCCAAGTTGTTTTCCCCAAATAGCCAAACTTGTCTCAATACCTCAACCCAGAGGCCAAGCCATTTTAAATTCCGGGTCACGGTCACCGGTTCGACTGATTGGGTTGAACAGTTCAGACCATGCCATGTCAGTATATATATATATATGTGTGTGTGTGTGTAAGTATATATTTTAAAATAAATAATGTATAAATATGTTTTAGATATGTATTATTTTTATCTTTAATATATGTTTTTTAATTCAGTTTTTAATTTTTTTTATTTATAAAAATATTAAAAATTGCAATTTAAGGCCAAAAAGGGATTTTTTTTTCACAAAAATAGTTGGGTGTGGCGCCTTGGGACGCATAGATCTTAAAAAGTTATCCAAAATCAAAGAAAATAAATCACCCCAATCGGATATTGAAGTACAAAATTATGGTTTCCAAAAGTTTGCATGTATTTAATCTACAACCCGCAACTCAATCGCAAGGTCAAATAAGTCAATGGTCGAACGGTTCTTGACTAAGCTAACGGTTTTTTACCATATAACAAGTCTTAACTGAACCAGACCTAAAATTCTAACTAGGTGACAACTCGAACGATTCAACCGACCAAATCAACTGTCGGTTAAAAACATTAATTATACCGCTCCCAAGATCCTAGATGGCCGTGACCAACATCAGTCATCAGGCAATGGCCTTCGGCCTTGCATGATTTCACATTTTATTTAATCCACCGGTTTGGGATTTCAGGGCTTTATCTCATTTACTTTCTAACTATCAGTTTGTATGAAAGTAGGTCTAGGTCTAAATCGGGTTTCATTTATTGTAGATCACCAAACAGATGTTAATGGTAAAACCTCGGCCTGTCAAAGCAAGTTTAAGAGCAATCATATTGTAAAAAAAAAAATGTCAAAGGTTAAACAGTATACAATCCACCCCTCCAAGATTTAAAATAAATAGTTGGGGACAAAGGTTTAAAATATCAACACATCCCTGTGTATCAGTAATTAAAATGATACGTTTTAATGTTTTTATTTAGTTTTTTTTAATTTAGATTTTAGGCCTAGTTTTAATTATATTTTTTATTAAACAGAAAAGATTCCTGAAACACTTGTAAACAGGTGTATCATGAAGTCATCGTAATGGATGTTAATGGCTTTTATGCTAGTTGGGGCCAACGTTCAAAAAATGCCAAAGGTTAAAATTGTATACAATCCACTACTCTAAAATTTCAAATAAATAGTTGGGAGAAAAGTTTAAAATATCAACACGTCCCTTTGTATCAGTAATTAAAATGATTACGTTTTTATGGTTTTATTTAGTTTTTTTTTTAATTTGGATTTTAAGCCTATTTTTAACTATATTTTTCATTAAACAGAAGAAATTCTTGAAACACTTGTAAATAGGTGTATCATAAAATCATCGTATCAAAATTCTGAACACATTGGCTAATGGCCTTTATGCTAGATGTTAATGGATGTGGTTTGATCATCACCCCCCTTCATCATACTTAAGGATCCATTTGGGAAAAGTGCAAAAGGAGACCGTATCAAATCATATGCAAATTCTGTAAATTAGGGATATCAACAGGTCGGGTTTGGATGGGTTTGCCTCAACCCTAACCCAACCATCCAATGCCCCAAGCCGAATCCAACTCAACCCAGTCCGACCTTAAAATGCATGATTCTCAAACTCGATCAGATTCATAACATTTTAATTACATGTTTTAAACACGTTTTGAAGACATAAAATCCATTAATTGAAGTTAGGAAATTGTTTTATAGATTTTAATGTGTCATTTTTTCCATTTAATAAAAGAAGAAAACCAAAAGTAATATGTAAATAAATCTTAAACTTTAAGGCTATAGAATTAGAAGTCAAAAAAGTATAAGAATACTTTGTAAGGTATCATGACCCATCAGGACGGGTCAGTTAAAACCCAAACCCAAATCGAATCTAACTCAGATTGAAGAATCAAACCCCTAAACCAAATATACTTGACCATAACTCATTCTAAACTGAATATATTTGACGCTAACCCAACCCTATGGGATCATGTCAATCCGGGTTTACCTTTTAATCCGATCCCTTAACATCCATCCTGTAAACTGTCATAGGTGCAAAAGCGGTTCGGTTTTGACCGCAAATTTTTGCAAATGTATTTGGTTGTCAACCAAGCAAACGTGAATATATTTTTGCTCAACTAACTTTTAATTTCTTTTTCCTTTGCACTTTGCAGCTCTGCCTTTCATGTCCCCAGCTGCACAATTTTCGTTTCAATCAGTGAATAATTAGAAGACATTTTATGAGGATGGAACAGTTGAAAGAATTTGATGAGGATTTGAACTGCGACATGACAAGAGAATAACCGGTCTGAGAACATCCTTCTCAACATTTAGCAGGTTTTTAGGTAAAAAAAACAAAGAAAAGAAACAGATGGCAAAATCTAACAATCAATTTGAGAAAAGGTTTAGATCTGCTAAACCGTATTTGTATTATTATTCATTGGGAGATGTTACTAATACACAGTAAAATATGGCTGTGAGGTTGGTTTGAAGAGTGCTCTGTGAAGTTGGTTTGAAAAAAAATCAATATTATAACCATTAGATAACATCATAGAACAATATTGTACAAAGGAAATGAGATATTTGAGCAGAAAATGAGTGAACAAAATATTAATATGAAATAAAGAAGAGCAACTCTAATCCCATTAAATCGAACAAAAAAATGAGCAAAATTTATACATACAAAATAGATCTACAAGACAAAGCTTCAAATACCTCTTTATAGATATTTTGGACCAGGTCTATTGATTTGCCTAGAGTGCTTTTCTCAGTTTTTTCTACCTGCAAGAAGACATCAATTCAGCGATGAGAAGGCTGGAAATGCAGGTACTGATGAAGGTCTTGAAGGTGAACTACTGATCTTCCATCGCCATTGTGTGCTTCGAAAGATTGGGAGTAACCATTGAGGAACTCGAGGGTTTTACGTACCTTTTCCAATGGCTGTAACTTTTTCTTGAAAACGAAACAAAACCCTCTTTAATTTACATTGAAGAAATGAGAAAATAGATTATGTATCAAATAAATGGAAGCAAACTTTACTCCCAGTCTCGATGCACTCTTTACTACTCATTGAGCCTTAATTCCCAGGTAAACGAATGCGTGCAAAAGCAAACTGAAAGCGGTTTTTATCCAAGGTGCTGCCATTTTGTACTCTTCCAAAAAGGAGCTTAAAAAAAAAATGGAAAAGTACCGACAGACTTTCCACTGCATATCTATAAACATTCAAAATGTCAAAAAACCTCATTCTTTACATCAATGCCCACCTTGAATTGACATCAGTTCCAATCTGGCACCTACCCCAATTGTACTTTGGGCTTAAAACTTCTGACCCTGGGCTGAACTGTCATTCTCACAAAAAAAAAACATACCACTATATTAATGCCCCATTCACTTTTGGGTAAGTCATTACTTGGGTAAATGATTACCATAAAAAACTACCCAGATAAGTGCATTTTCCCATTTCTTTTATTTCCCTGTAAACAAGACAATGACAATCTTATTCATAAAAATTTCATTATTAAAAAGAGCATTTATGTCCAATCCAAGTACTTGCAACTTTCCCCTAAATGGAGATGGGTATCACTACATGGGTAAATAATACACAGGAAAATAAACTTTCATTGATCACCACATAATCTGAATGAACATGGGTTTCTTGGTCAATGAGAATCAAAATCCCATTGACCAACTTGCCCCCCTCTCAAAAGCCAAAAAAAGAACGCCCCTAAAAAGTATATTGGTATTAGTGAACTTTCTTTTCTTCTGAACTCTAAATGTAGATTATGGTGTTCTAAATTCTGAATTTTGAAAATCATCAAATGCCAATTTTAACCCCATATATGAGAACTTTTGTTTACCTTTTGGGTATTAAAAAATAAAAAATTATAAAGTTCCACTTTAAGAGATAAGAGAAAACAAATACCCACATTTCCTCTTATAAAGTTATAAGATTCCTCTGAAGAGATAAGAGTCAAGAGGAAACGAATGGGCCCTAAAGCACAACAGAATTCTTTTTTGTTAAATCAATCACCAGGTATTTGCGTTAGGCTTCTCTTAACAAAATTATTAAAAAGAACAATAACCTACGCATCCATCGTATGAGCTGTTTACAGATCAATAGTAGAAGCATAGCATATCAACCCTCCTGTGTAAAAAAAAAAAAAAAGAACATTTTTTTATTACATCATGATATGGTGCCGGTGTCCAGTTATCTGAGATAGGAACAGAAAAACAACAATTCCTATCGTCTCAAGTTCTTGTATAAAGATTCAAAACACATTCATTACAAGCTTTGCTTAGGCAGTGGATGCAACCGATGTGGAACGGAGACACCTCTTTCACAAGACAAGTCACCAAAATAAAACTCTAAATTTCAAAAATAGAGGGAAAGCCCATAATGCATGTCCACGCCCAACTGTATTAAGCGCCTTTCTTTCAGTGTACTCTGGAAGACCGCAGTATACCACCATATTAAGCGCTTTCTTAGATTTCGATATTATGTTCAAACAGATGATGACCTCGGATCTCAACTTCCGACGGCAGTAAAAACACTTGGGATGTTCTGGCTATCAGTTTCCTTCCGCATTCCTCCCAGAAACTTGTACATCTGCTATCCTTGATTCATGCTTCCTCTTGCTACGGGAAACCCGACTTGTCTTGGAGGGATGTTTTACTGTGTATTCTTGGACGTCATTCATCTTTTCACTAGACGGGAGCTCTGGTGGCGCATCTGGCCAGGGCGTGCGTTTTGCAGGAACAGTGATCTCCAATGGAGGATCAATTATCCATCTGCATACATTAGTAACTCGTAATATCAGAGAAACACAACCATGATGCATGTAATACTTCTTCATAGACTTCAACCAAAAGATAGGAACCTCTTAGGGTAAAGTGGTGTATTATCTATCTCATACAAAGCGGATACTTGTTTTGATTTCTGTGCACATTATAAAAGTTAGATCAAAGTATTGTACTGCTACCCAAGAGTACATTCTTCCCCAAAAACCATTCATTACTCTATCTTCAGTATTATATTTATTTTCAAAAAAAAAAATCCCCCCTCTCTTTCTCTCCGTCTAAATTGACCACATTACTACGGCTTCCTTTTCTAGACAACCCATGCCAGCTCCATAGCCAAGGCTGGAGACATGATTTGTTTATTTATTTACTTATTTATTATTTTTTGGGGGAAGGGGGGCAAAAACAAATAAACATGGATAGGGGGGGCAACCATAAAGAAAATTAATCTTAATTTAACAATATAAGTGGGGATTGTAGGAAAGTTTGAGGCATTGGGGCGACCAAGGGCCATAGCAAAGCCTTGATATCTTTTGGAAAGCACAACTGCACTCCAAACAGCCTCAAAGATTTCAACCACAGCTCCCTTGCAAACATGCAGTGAATAATAAAATGGTCCACCCCCTCAGAGTCTTCACTACACATTACACATCTGCTAGGTCCCACTATCATCCCTCTGTTACCAGATTTTCAGCTGGTAAACACTTCCCCAGCATTGCTACAAAAAAAAGGCTATTTTGAGAGTGGGACACCAATCTCCCCCACCCACTGGTAAACACTTCCTCAGTTCACAACACACTCTGTCATAGAATGACTATTGTGAAAGAACCTGATTTCTCCCCCACCCAAACTCTTTTGTCACTTCTTGTTCTGTTCAGCCTCCGTGATTAAATTTTGCATTAATTCCACCAATTGCTCTAATTCCCATTCATTCAGATACCGTCTAAGAGTGGGACACCGATCTCCTGCCCCTTTCTTGTGAGAACACCTCCGACACCAAGCACTCCTTATTATGCACAATTTCAAACAGAGTTTGAAATCTCTCTTTGAGAGGATGACTTTCACATAACACATCCTGCCATAACTTAATCCTCGATTAACCTCCTACTTCAAGCTTAATTCCCTTCTTAAACAGAATCTTCATTAGGTCAAAGACATTGCAGTCAACTTGATATCAGCTTTAGGATATTAGAAAATGACATCAACGCCTGAATCCAAGGGCTGAAATCATGGTCTTATCATGCTAAGTTAGCAACAACATTATGTTATCAATTGCCATCAAATGAAGAAATGAACTTTAAGATTCGCATCTGAAAAACGAATTTTAGAAATATGTTCTTACAAAAGGATGTAGGTTATCTTATCTTCATATTGGGCACCCCCTAACCAAATCAAGGATCATACCTGAGTGGTAAAGGAGTAAAAGCTTCAAATAACACTTCAACTTTTATCTATCCCTTTAAAATTAAAGTCACCCTCTTGTGAGTTCTAGAATGAAAACTTTAACAATACCAAAAAGGAATCTTCATGGTTAGATCCCACTTTGACTTTTTATTGCTTCTCTTTCCATCCCTTTTCCATCCTGAACTGGTGCTTTACAAATTCATCCAACCAATTTTCTCTCTGGAATGCCATTTAGAACTTTATCCTTACAAAAGATCATATCACCATATTGGGTAATTTCCTTCTGTTTGCTTGCTCTGTACGTGAAGGGGTTTCTATAGACCACCTATTTCTTCCATTACCTCTAAGGAATAGAGGTATAGCCAGTTTGTTTCTGGCTCTTGGAGTTATATATAATGATGCCTTCAGTCTTATAGGCCCAGCTTAATTTTGGAGATTTATGGCTATGGGTTTATGGAAGAACCTTTTGGATACTTTTAGCTGTGATAGTTTATGGTGCGAATGGAGACTTTACATCTGAAGATTGCTAAGAATTATCATGGAGTCTCCGATGGTGCGAGATCTTTTTTTGATAGATCTTTTTCTTGGTTTTATTATAGGAGATAATTGGTTTTTTATATATTTTGTAAAGTCTTGCAACTCTGGGGCTCTAATGTTTTTTTTTTGTCTAAAACAATTAAAAAACAAAAAAAAGGTGGATGCAATTCAGAAAATTGTTCTTAGCTTCCTGGCTCTTTTGGAGTTTTCAACTTGCACTAGATCGTTCTCTACCAGAGGAGCAATTGTTTATCCGCTACCTATATGACCAACCCATTTTAGCCAATTCACTGATCCTCTCACCTCTAGCGTCTGTCCTAGGTTCCTGGAAATTTCAAATATTTCCAATTCCATCCATCCTAGTGTTGCTATTCATCTATCTCAAACATCCTCATCTCGGCTACCACACTATTTTACGAACATGCTTTCAATGGCCTAGATTAGGTTCCATGACATAAATGTTATTACAAGTTTGATTTGCATGTGTTTTCTGATACTCCAGTAGCACAATACTTCATTTACAGTGCTCTAATTCCAAGGACAAACATATTTATTTCAACAAATGACACAAAAAGAAACGGAAGAACAAATGACTTTTGAGTTGTAAGGGACAATTTTTATGGAATTATTGATTGTTTTTGCTTCATTTAGAAAACCTGAAGCTGATAAAATTGGTTTGATAAAGAGCATAGTTAAATCTCTAGAAAAATTTATCCCTTTCTAGTCTATCTTCATGTTCTTTTTGTCTTTGACTCACAAATCAACACCTTTTTCAGAGTTGCCTCAGAAATGAACTCAACAAATTCTACATTTGACTTGTGTTCTGTACAGATCAGTTGAATTTAGCAATTATCTATGGAGTCAACTTATTAAAGCAACAAATCCTGCCCTATTTGATATACTTGAACACAAATGTACAAGAGAGATCTGCCTAAGTACCTATTATTTGATATACTTGAACACAAATGTACAACAAATCCTAGGAGCAAAAACAGGAGACGGAATCAGCTGCCCACAGAGTGCACCCCGGGTGTTCCACAGCCCATCCCCTTCCATGCATTGGGAATATCTCCCCATGACAAGCACGGAAGATGTTCCCAGTGCACGGAGGGGATGGACTGTGGGCTGCCCGTGGGGCCCGCTCTGTGGGCAGCCAATCTGATCACCAAAACAAAAAGTAGACATCAGTTACAACCACCAGAATCTACAACCTTTGGCATCATTCTAAACAATATGACACAGGGATGAACAGCTTGTTAAACAACAAAAAGAATATCACATTATCACTATCCCTGGTACGAAAAAAGAGATTAAAAAAGCACAGTTTGGCTTTCTTTATGCCAGACAAGGTTCTGAATCTTGTCTAAGTTTTTGAAATTTTGACATTTCATTCTGGCTTTGACTGCAACTAAAATGAAAGGCACAAAGAATTCAGTATGTTTAGAGTTGTAAGGAAGATTGCATGATTAAAGGTTTAGATAAGGAAAAGATAGGAATTTAACCCCCTTCTACATTGATTTTTTTTTAAGAAAAGAGTAACTGATTACATTTATAGAATAATAGGTACATGGGATGACATACAGAAAGAAGCATAATAAAGCAAAGCTCAGGGGTTACATAGGCAGAATCCCATCACTATACAAAGCTTCCCTGTGGACACCAGATTTAGCCAAACTATAAGCTATATAATTTAACTCCCTAGCAATACAAATAAGATTTACAAACAAGGAGCCCAATATTTCTCTAGGCTCTAGCCTCTGTCAGGTAGTGAGCCAGCCTCCAAGGGCTGCCTTCCTTCGGCCCTAACCATTTAATAGTATTTGCAGAGAAGAATCGCCCTTCTACTTTGATTTCAGTTACGTTTAGAGGGGGATTACTGTCTGAGTAATTACTGACAAGTATGAGAATGTGGGTTTAAGTCTGAGACTAGGTTCATATTCAATCTACCCTTCCTAAGACCCCAGATAGCCAAGACCACCATTGGGAAATGGCCCTCAATGAATGAACTAAAGAGGTTATTTTTGGACCTTGGTTTCTTCAGCACTTTCCCATTCATATTCAGAAAACATTAATACATTCAACACTTGCATAAAATGAACCTCCCCCCCCCTCCTCCAAATGCTACAATCTTAAAAGAATGTGATTTGGTCTACGACTACTTCATTTTACAAAAGGGCTAGTCATCAGATCCAATGGAAAAGGCTATCAGCACCAAAAAGGCTAGTCAAACAGTTCATATAATCAATTACTAGCAGAATCAGATCGGAGGAATTTAAGTAATTAAATACAGGATCATGGAGAACAAGTAAAATTTAAAGAACAACATCAGTGGGAAGAAAACTAACCCAGGAGGAAACTTGCTGTCGGAACGAGCTTCAACTCGGAGCCACCACAGCAGAACCTTGCGCCCACAATTACCCAGAGGCTCAACAACAGAAGTGTCCTTCAAAAGAGACAGAGGACTCTCAAGGTCCTCTCCATCCGCAGCCAACGTATCTACATCCCGAACCCACTCTGGCTTATCCTCAACGTCCTTCCAAACCAACTTGGAGTTCAAAACAAACCCAGCCCACTCCAACTTCCTAGGAAGCACCGTTGCCCTATCATCAAAGTAAGTGGCACTCTTGCCGACATACGGTAGGGAATTGAAGGTATGCCAGCCAGTCAATCGGCCAGACGAATTACAAGCCGGGCCTTGAATAGGCAATGGAAAATTCTCCTCATCCTCCTGCTTCTGAGGCAAAGAGGATGAATCATCCGAATTCCCAGAATGAGCAAGAATTCCAACAGAAACAGCACCGATCCATTTAACTGATTGGATCTCATCAAATAACTCCATGCTATGCACATTACTATCATCGGCAAACATCACGATTCCATCTAATCTCTGCTCTCTCACGACTCTGTAATAACAGCAAGCCTAATAATCAAAGTGGCTTCCCAAGAGAAGAAAAAATAAATCTCAAACAAGAGAGAACAACTGAAACAAGTAAAGAACCGATGAATTTACCTCAAGGCACGAAGCCGCATCCGAGCTTCCATCTGGTGTCGAGCCTCCCAAGTAATTGGCATTCTTTCTTCGAAGCCAATGTGGATTGTACGAAGTCCTGATTTCTCAAGAAGAGAAGCGGTCTCATTAGAAGTCCCTCCGGCTTCGACAACGATCCAAGTTAGATCGCAGGGAACGAGCATCAGTGAATGCATGAGACCGGTCAAGTGAAGGGTTTGGAAGGTTCGGACAAAGGTGGGGGTAACAACAATCAGAGGTCTTGGGTTCTTAATTCCATACTGAAGCCGTTGTTCTCTCTGAACTCTTTCAATTATATGGTGCGCCTTCATAACCTCGACGGGATTAGGATGAGGCCATGGACGGATCAGGATCCCATGACGGCCGACGACGACGCGGCTGCTGGTAGTGGTAGTACTTGTTCGGTTCGACGGCGTGTCGGTAATCGAGATCGGAGGGGAGAGAGAAGGGGTCTGGAGCGTTAGGGTTTGCGCAGTATCGCTGGTGGTTCGGAGGAGCGCCGGTACAGTGTAGTGATTAGTAGTGGTGGTGGTGGTAGTGTTTGTGGAAAAGAGGAGAAAGAAGATAAGACGAGAGAACCTGAAGCCCAAAACGAGGCTGATGAGGCAGCAGAGACCATGGAGGACTAACCAGAAGAGTGCCGCCGGAGATTTAAAGGTACCGTCAACAGAGGAGTCAAGCGAACCAGAAGTTCTGAAGCTGTTGCTCCGGCGGGTGTTGCAGTTCTGCTGCTGCAACACCAGGTGCTTCATTTGGGTTGTATCTGTGTTGCAACTCAGAAAGACAGGATAGGGGCCGGGGAGGAATGGACGGAAATGGAAAGGAAATCGGTGGGTTCCAGCGGGTTAAGTTGGGGCCAGAGGGTATTTCTTTTGCTGTTGTATTTGTTTCTGTTACGGCGTTCCTTTCGGTTGTTTGGAATTTTAGAAGATAGACGAAAAAAGCATCACTAGGAATGAATAAGATTAGCAGAAACACAGATCAACCCTCCTCTTTTTATTACTTATGGGTTGTTAATGTTGTTTAGTCACACAGATTTCTTAGGTTTTACGAATGATGAATTGCTTGATTGTCTGGTTTCTTCTTTCATTCACAAAGAATTTTAGTTTAGGGAGAGAGAAAGAGGGAGGTGAGAGAAACATCGGACCTCCGGTCGGTATTTTCGGGGCCCAGCGGCTAGCTGGGACTGGGTTGGTGCTTTGATTTCGGACAGGAGCTTGGTTTCGAAGAATCCCCCGTTTTTTCATAATAAAAATAGTTGGACCAATGGTGGCCTGGTGGGTGGTGTGCCCTTTATTTTTTATAATATATAATTACGAAAAAGTCCCCTTTGATTATGGAATTGAAGTACTGAAAGGAAAATATTTCCGGATAGTTTGGGAAGTTGGAGGACAAAACAGTCAATTCGCAAATAAGAAAATGTCGTTTGTAAGCAATCTCAGACGAATCATATCATAGTAAAAAACATTGGACCATCGCCGGAATCCAATAGTTTGAAATTTGTAGTCGAGGAAAACGTCATCTCATGTCCTCTTTCCGGACTCTCTAGCCACGTGGAAGAGGGCTACTGGCCTACAAACTGTCAAGTAAAGGGTGATTTGGCGACCTTGGGACAATTGGAACAATCTCGCTGAGAGAGAGAGAGAGAGAGGGGTATCAGGTAGGTGTTGTTTCAACGTTTTGCTTCTTTTCATTTGGCGTTCCGAGACACTCCCCACCAAATGTGATGTTGGGACTAGGGTTGGTCAAATAGGTGTTCTGTCACGTTCTATAGCTTTTAGAGTAAAAGCGACGAAAACAAACTTGGAACACCTACCGGTAGCAAAATAACTGATATAACACCTCTCGGCTCTGGCTAGGGGATGTTTGGAACAGTCGCCGTTTTCAAAAAAATGGTGTCATATTGGATTCTCGAAGGCGTTTCAACAAATGCCTATATATTTTATTGTTTGGTTCAGGTGTTTATTGAAAAATCGGACATATCTTATAAATTGGGACCTCACCGATGTAATTTGACATTTCATGCATCAGTGAATCATTTCCCCAAGGGTTAACTGATTGGCGCTTACCTGTCAGTATATACATGAAAATCAGTTTACCAAACAGCATAGTATTGTTCACTGCATACACAACAGAAATATTTTTTCTTGAAAATCGGACCCAATAAATGCCTAGGTTATTCTTGATGATGCGCAATCCGCCTGGTCTTAGCTGTCAACGACCTTGCCTCGGAATCAAGTAGCGGGGGACCTGAAACGGAGGAGATGAAGAAGCTCCGGGGAGAACCCGGTGTAGAGGCTCCAAAGCTTAAGTTAGAATTCTTCAAAGGCAAGATAAACTAGATAGCGCAAAATTTGCATACCTCCTCTTTGGAGGTGGAGAGCCTTTTATAACCACCTCGCGCACTCACTCCTAGACTCCTGTCAGATCGGGAATGAGTATTTCCGTGCTTTCTGCCAGTTCGGGCATCATCGCCTCTACAGGGACAGAACCGTCACTGCTCCTTTTGTCGGAGCCGTCTTTGTAAGTGGAGGCAGTGGTGACAGGTGACGGTGGCCGTTGGCCATTGGAAATGCGGCCGTCAAGCGTCAGATCCCAAGTCAGTCAGGTGCGCCGCCCCTGGATACGGACTCCTTCGGTGTCAGGTACGGCGTGGTTCGTCCAGTTCAATGCTCCGGGAGCGAAGTGCCTGGAGCGGTGCGTGAGGCAAAGTCTCGAGTTCGGATAAGGGGAGGCCCCGAACTATCATAAGGCGGGCCAGTTCGGGTCCCTGCTTTGTGTGACTCGGGGTCAAAAGGGGAGAGTCCGGGCTCCTCGCAGGGAGTCCGATCACTAAGTAGGGAGTTCGGGCCTCTTGCTAGGGAGTTCGAACTCTAGTAGGGAGCTCGGGCACTAAGTAGGGAGCTCGGGTCTCTTGCTAGGGAGTTCGAGCTCGATGTAGGGAGCTCGGGCCTCTTGCTAGGGAGTTCGAGCTCTAAGTAGGGAGCTCGAGTACTAAGCAGGGAGCTCGGGCCTCTTGTTGGTCCCATCCCTTTGGCGTTTGTACCCTCGGTATGCTGTCTTGAGTGCCGAGCTGCTTGCCTTTTTTGCCACGTGCCATGATTTGCGAGGTCGGGCCAAATCTTCCTTCATCAATTGCCCCCCACTCCTGGTGCTAAGGTCTTGCCCGGGCGCGGGGAGTTCGCAAGGTGTCAGGTAGATTTGTCCTGCACTTTGAACCTTGGTTCTGCTGGCGCGAGGTGCGTTGTTAGGGTTCCTTGGGTTTCTTCGAGCGTCCATTTATGCGGGAAGCGTGTTGGCCTGTCTAAATGTTGCTAGATGCGGCGGTGCGTGCGCTTTGCTTCGAAATTTCAAAAAAAAGGGGCGCGCCACTTGGGGGCGCGAAAGCGGGCGTTTTTTCAAATTTGAAAAAGACGTGCCACTGCCGTTTTTTCTGAGACGTGCGCTAACGTTCCGTCAGTTTCGAAAAGATGCGCGTCGTCGCTGTCAGTTTCAGAAAGACGTAAGCCAATCACGTCTCGGTTTCGGGCAACGTGCGTTCAGGGCGGCCGTAGGCCGTCGGATTGGCTTTGATATGAGTCGTTGCCTTTTGGTCACTGTGAGCATAAATAGCCGGGGGG